GTGTTCAGCAGTGCACTCATCCCCTTGCACGTTATTACACGGCATCTAAAAACAGTTCTTTCGTCATTAGCTGAAATTTTATTATAAGTATATCCATCTAAAATCATTTTTCTTTTGTCATCTTCAGATTGTAAAATTTTTACTGCATTGTCATTTTGATTTTGCATAAGGGTTAAAATTTTTTTTTAATCTGCCAAAATGATGATGTGTAATGATGTTTCCCATTTTTTAACGACATATATTTTTTAATTATCAATAATGCAATATATATGTCCTAAGGGTATGCATGTTTTAATGCAGTTTACTTTAATTCATTATTTATTTTTACTACTTATTTTCTTAGGCATGGGTTAAAAAAAAGGAAGTGTGCATTTAACAAAGACATACAAAATGAATACCTGTATATTGAAAAAAAAAAAGAAGCAATTCCGATGTAGGATGCAATACATGTTCTTTGGAGTTTTCAGTAAGCCATGGTGGATGCACAGATATTAAAATTTATATAAATAGTAATAAACATAAAATGTGCTGCTGCTGCATCTAGTTTGTCTTTAAAAAATGTCTTCAAACAGGAGAAAATGGGTGATAAGAAAGAAGAATTAGCTGCATTAGAAGGTACTTTTGCGTACCATACTATTTGCCACAACTATAGTTTTAGGTCTATGGATTAAGTTTAGGCCGCTTCAAATTGCATTTGAGCCTAAATTTACATGTGCGTGAACCAAGGCCAAAGCAATAACACTAAATGTTTCCATGCCTTATGCATTAAGAGCCTTGCAAAATGATTCGGAAAAATGTTGATTTGTTAACTGATGTGACCAACCACAAGGAAGTAACAATTTTTCCAATATTTGTTAGATTTATAGTTATGGAATTAGAGTAAAAATTGTAGAATTTAAATCTTTACCTGAGGCTTTTTTCAATCTCAAGCAAAGTGTCCAATGCTTTCTTTGAAAATCCAGTGGCAGAAGCTTGGCTACATTTTATTAACACTCAGGCTTCAGTATTTCCTAAAGTTATTACAACAGTTGAAAATCAAACTGCATTGATGTAATTGCTTCAATGGACGCTCTTAAAGCTTAAAGCTCTTAAAGATAGAGGATAACTTATTTCCAATAAATGTTAGAAAAGCTTGAAGAGAGTGGAGACGTGCTACCATACGAAGTTATTGAATTTCAAGAAGCTATTGTTGCATTTTATCAGGCTGCTCTTACTTATTTGGAGAAGTAAGCAAAAAGAATGTATTTCAGAAGATGGAAACACACAGCTGGATCATATGAAATGAAATGCTTTCTTGGAGTCAAGTTGGAACAGCCTTTTTGTTAATTAATAAAATGATACCTGATCATAAATTATTGGAATGATAAGTATGAGAAATATATTAACTTTAAACAATATATCATGGAAGAAAAAATATTGGAATGGTCAAAAAATAACATGTGCCCATTTCAGAGATGGATGGAAGTAAATGCATATTTTAATAAGAACCAGATTCCTTGTTCAAATATTTTAAAAGTGCCGTAGTTTGTCTTTATCTTCCCGGCTCTAAAGCTGTGATCAAACAAGTATTTAGCATTATGACCAGTTTTGGGACTAGTAGATAAGACACAGCTGAAAAAGGATACTTTGAGGCACATTTAGCATTATGAACAGTTTGAAACTAGTGATAAGACACAGCTTAAAGTGAACACTTTGAAGCGTATGTTAATTACCAAAATAAATTTTGATGAAAATTGTATAGGCTTTTATAAGAAGATCAAAAAAGAAGATGATGTTCTCTAAATATTCATGCCTTGGACAAATATTAGTCTACTTCATCAAAATAATTTAGAAGGTTACAAATTTATTATTTTGTTTAAGAATGAATACTGTATTTTAATTTATTTTTTATTTATTAAAAAAACTATAATGGATCACTATTAAAAATAAAACAAAAATTAGTTATTTTTATGTATGTATATTATATATTATATAAGAATAAATTGAATTTAATTAAAAAATTTAAATTTAAATATATATTTAATTAAATATTCTTTGTGCATTGCTGCAAGGAATGAAAATTTAAATTCTTAACAAATACGTATAAAAGTAAAAAAAATTTAAATTCTAAAAAAAGGAAAAAAGCCAAAATAATTTAAAATAATTTTTTTTAAAAATGTGCAAATATGTAAAAGATTTAATTCTCAAACTAATCTACAATATCATTTAAATTCAGAAGCATAAGCTAATCAAGTACAAAATCTATCCATGAAAAAAATTATTATATAATTATATAATATAATATATATATATATAATTATAAAAAATTATATATTATATATATAATTATATTTTAATATTATTTTATATAATATAAAAATATAGATTTTGCACTTGATTAACTTATGCTTCTGAATTTAAATGATATTGTAGATTAGTTCGAGAATTAAATCTTTTACATATTTGCACATTTTTTAAAATTATTTTAAATTATTTTGGCTTTTTTCCTTTTTTTAGAATTTAAATTTTTTTTACTTTTATACGTATTTGTTAAGAATTTAAATTTGTTTAAATTTATATATTATATATATATATATGTATGTATGTATGTATGTATGTATTTGGACTTACATACCACTTCCACCACAATAACAATAACGATAAAATAATTTACTTGTTAAAAATAAATATTAAATATACAGTGTCCTGAAATTCAAACTTCGAAATTTAGTAACCTTAATTGTATTAATCAAAGTTTTTACTCTACAGATATTATGCAAGGTGTTTAAAAAAAGATGGGTAAAAATAAGTAGAACAAATCAAAATAAATATTTTTCTTTGTGGAATACATATTATATAGGAAATCAAATGATGCTTTTCAGTGAGGATATAAAAGAGCATTTTTCACACTGACTGTCATTTGCAACCTTGATACCTAAAGACATAGATCATTATTTCAGTGCTGAGAAGGCTGATGTACATTTTCCTGTGACACTCTCGATGGCAGTACTCTGGAAATGCAGTCATTATAAAAGGAGCATATTCTCAATGGACCAGTTCCCAACTGAAAAAATCTGAGTATTCTGGCAATTATGTGAGATAGGATCCCTTCTCACTGGCAGAGATGGTACAGATTATTCAAGCATGATAAGAATGCCAGATATTATAAAGACCAATCTACTCATGGTGAAAAGTCAGTCAGAACTAAGCACATAAGTTATATGTTGTAGCCTTGATGTGGCTCGCATCACTGTATAGAAAGTGTTACATGAGGAATAGTTGGAGGAAGTCAAGACTTCGTCTGCACAAGGCTTGGATTTTCCTCTTCATCAGGAATTTCCCTGCTGGTGCTCGTGGCCAACAATTTGGCAATCACATTTTCCTGCATCTTTCCTACGCATTGATAAAACTGATTTCACCTGTGATGGATTGTTTAACATGCATGATGCTAGCAACCATAAATTCACACAGTATGTCAATCAATTAGTAGTTCTGAATGAATGTTTAGACAGGAATCTACTACTCAGTTAAGCTAGTCTTAAATGAATACATATATACTCTGCAAATGTTTTTGAAAAACAACTCACCGAATTAGCTGCAGAATGTTCCAGCAGCCAACTAAGGATGCAGGTAGTTCCAACATGACTGCCCATTTTTTATTATGAAATGTGTGAGTAGGTAACATTACATTTTCATATGAATGGATTTAGCACACTGATCTTCCTCTCTGTCTTTGTTTTGACCTTTTGTGGGAGCATCTCAAAAACATTCCATTAGAGATTTTATGAAAATTTGGCACAAACATGTTATACAAGTGTTATTTGCAAAAATGTACAGGATTCACTTTGATGATGCGTTGAAGCATGCATCATGGTTAACAATTGTTCTTTTGAGTAATTACTATAAGTATCCAAGATTTTTTCCGCTTATTCTGTATCATGTTAGCACTATACTTCTTTAAGTGCTGTCCTGCTTTTGTTTGTGCCTCTGCCCAGATGGGATAATGGTTAGTTACACTGACTGTGGTACCGAAGGGCCCAAGTTTGGATCCCAAAGAAGGCATGGACACTTTAAAGTATGTAATAATGCAAACAGATGAGTATAAGAAAATGCTCATTCTTTTGAGAGAGTGATGGTAGAGGAAGAGAGATGATAGACCCTGGGATCTCTTCCCAGCCATTCTTTCTCAAAATTCCAGTGATTCAGCATGGGGCGGAAGTTTAGCAATTAGCAAGACCTGATGATGCCTAATACTACCCGCATGGAAGCGGGTAGTATTAGGCATCCTCCATGCCTTCCTTCAACCTGTACTTATAAGTTTGTGTTTCACCACTTCCTAATTAACTGATTACAATAATAATAATAATAATAATCACCTTTTAAAATTTTGTCCATTTTTTAAACCCATTGCAAAAAGTTAGACATTTTGGTACTCCTCTGTTAATGGGACCAGATTCCAATTGTATGTATATATGCACATGTATATGTGTGTATGTGCGTGTGTATAGATGGATGCTTATATACATACATACAATGCAGGAACACATTCATCCGTACATGCATGCATACATAAATTTCTCAATCTGGTTCCAATAACAGAAGTGTACCGACTTTTTCTCAATAGAAACCCTTACTCTTGCATTGAAGCTATTTTTATGAATTTCTCTATTCTATTTCAAAGGGCTTTGTGAGCGAGCTTACGTGTCAAAACCAGCATTATAGAAAATAAAGGTTGTAGTTACTTTATTTCAAGCATGTTATAGGTAACCATTTTCATATCCTGGCTAGGAATGATGCCTGTACAACAGTTAAAAACACATACATCAAAACAATAATATTTGAAGTATATATTAAAATAAAAATTTCAATAATTAGTGGAATTTGAATCTCTTGTTTCTTACAGGAAACCCCCATAATAATTATTTATTAGGGCATATTATAATCATAATAATTATATACATACATATAATGCTTAAAAACTTTGTTGAGATCTTAATTCTGGAAATAATTTTTATTTATAGATCATTCTTAGACTCATCTAATGAATATGGAGATAATTTATTTCCAAACTGGAAACTGGATATGTCAAGGTAAAGCAGGAGAAATTTGAGACTAAATTGTATTGCAGTTAAAATAGGCGGTGATGTTAGATTAGCTTTTATTTAAATATATAAATAGAAAATAATTAAGTGTAGTATTTTTATACATTGATTACTATGTTAAAATATTTTTTTGCATAGAAATGTAGCTATTTTTACGAATTCATAATTTAATCATTTGAGAGCAAACCTGTTTCTGCATGTCATTTGATATAAGAAAGCATTGTTCCTTGGTTGTGGTCAGAAAATGTATGATCCAAATAAAATAGTATTATAGTTTAGGGTAGTACCTCTCCCCCAAAAAGACAACTTACTTACTTCCCCCCTCTAAAAAAAAGAATGCAGTCATAAATAACCGCAAGTTTCTTCTTTCAGAAATTATTTTTGAAAAAAATTTCTCATTGAATGAGAAAATCTGTACGGGATATGCAGCAGTTTTCTTTTGTGTAATTTTTTGCAATTTGTCATGTTTTTCTTTTTAATATTAATTTTTTTGAAGAATTTATTAGCATAATGCAAATTTTGATTGACGTAATACGTCAGTAAATGTAGATGTAGGTATTTTCTGGGTGAGATATGTCTCAACCTTATGTGTTCTATACTTGCAAATAGTTTCCCCAAACTCTCCATATAGATAATTTATTATTAACAAATTAACAACTCAGAAACTAATTTTTGTACTTTCTTGTTAAAGGGACAATCATATACATTTTACATAGAGGTGACATTTTAGGTTTATTCATTAGAGATTAGGTAAATAAGTTTGCTAGGTTTGGGGACTAATCACAGTGAACTTTTTACCAAGGAAGTATTTTAATTTCTTCTTCTCTGCAGAAGCAACCAAACCAGATTTTTTCTCACAGCAATAGACTTATCTTCTTTTTAATGTTAGCATATTTTCTTAGTTCGAAAATGCCCCAACTGACAAGGAAGATATTGAAGGTACATTAGATTAGCATTAACTTTTAATACATGCAGTAGTTTACATTTATAGGATGCTTATGTTTTTTAGTTACATTTCTAAATATCTGTCATTAAGTATTAACGAAATGATTTTATTTTTCTTTCACACATGTCATCTATTTTTAAAATTTGCTTGTTGTGAAAAATGTTATTCAAAACATATTTGCTTTTAAAAAAAGAGAATGAAATATTAAAAACATTCTGGAAATTTACTCCCATGAGTATTTGGGCTGTTTGAATAAACAGTTTATATTTAATAAAAACATCAAAATAGCGGATTATTCAGTATGTTGTTGGATGTTCCTTTAGCTATACACATTTCATGGATTTAGCATGGCTTTGACTTAAGTTTTATATAAGAATGTTCCATTAACTTCATTCTTATGTAAGACTTGATTTTAATAGAGCTTTCGAAGAATTATCATTTATATCTTTATTCTTTTCTCTAACCCATTCCATACACATCCCTTGGATTTTAAGTCCAAAGACTATGGAGAAGTTTTAATAAGTTGTATAACAGGACAGTTGTATAATTGCAAGCAAACATTTTAGGGCTAAGAAACCGCAAGTAAACATTTGGGCACATAAACACAAGCAAACATTTAGGACTGTATGCTTAAGATTGTTATTCTGATAGAATTTGAATGCATTTTGCATTTTAAGTTAAGTTGTTTTTTTTTTTTTTTTTTTTTTTTTTTTTTTTTTTGCATATGCATTCAGTTTTTATTGAGAATATTATATATTTCTACTAATCAATATTATTTTTTATAAACACTAAGTTTTTAATTCTAAAGGCTGCAAAACATCCCCAAATCATTATGCCTCTACCCCTGTACATAACATAAAGTAATAAGATTCTTTAATGCAATTATTAATTTAAATTTTTCCACCTATTAATTCATTTCTAGGACCCAATATATTAAATGTTCCAATGTAATAAATCGTTGCTTATTATAGATATTGTGAGGATCAGGTGTATTTATCTTGTTTTCTTGTTGATGAAGAATTTTCTTCTTGCTGATCACCCATTTTGTCCATGTACCCTAAATTACTATTCTAAAAGCTTCAAAGTTAACTTTTATTGTAAATCATTCTTCTAAATGTATTGAACATTTTACAGTTCTAATTTTTAGGTGTTGTTTGATTTTTTTAAGAATAAATTTGCAGTTCCTTGGTGTTAACATGGAATGTATTCCAGACTCTAGTACATTTTCAGCAGTCCGACACGATCTTCATCATTACATCAAACATAGTTAAACGCTTTATTTACATCAAGGAATTTTTGGATATTTGGAATATTTTTACTTTCTTTAAAAAGATGAATTATTAAATTTGTAACAGCATTGGTTGTTAATTTGTAGCATCTTGTCATGCTTACTTCAGATATGGAGCTGTTAATATATTTTGCTAAACAAGGTAATGCTTTCCAAATGCAGATGGAAATTCTTATGATGCATTTTCATTTAAAATAAGAAACTGTAAAAAGAAACATTGACTAGCAAAACATTTTAACAAAAATTTTTGAGTATCCAAATTATTGATTAATGCAAGTATCCAACTTATGCAAATATTGATTAACACTTTTTAAACAAATTATATTTTAGTACAAGGAATATTTTGATTGTATTTATTTTGCAACAAGGCTTAAAATACAGAAAAAATAGTATATCAGAAAAAAAATTGAAATTTATGTTTCAATATTTAGTACAAGATGTATATGCAAATCACTTTAAAAAATACAAGTGTCTGAAAACAAATGTGAGCCACTTTATATTTCAAATTTATATTGCCTAAACTTTGCCTAAATTTATATTGTCTAAACTTTGTGTATGAGTTTGTTTTTATACTGCATTTGAATTAACAGAAAGAGCACAATATTTCTGTAACTTAAAAGTGTAGCATAGAAGTTATATTATTATTATTAATGCATTTTAACACATTATAACTGCAGTACAAATTCTGGAGTGTCCAATATCTGGACAGACCTGCAGACCACAGCTTTTCATAAAGAAAAGTAAGACTTCTTGTTGTTTTAGAATTTTTTAAAAACAGTTTATATTGTCATAGTGCTAATAATAATCAAAGTGTGTTGGTTACTAGTCTGGAATAGAATGATGCTTCTCGCTTTACAGCATTTACATTTAACTGAAGTATTGTATTATGTTCTTGCAATAAGTATTTTTAGAATTCTTCATGTCATATATTTGAAATTATATTTAACTGTAATGATCCACTTAACTGAACATATTAATAGGCAGTTTCTGCCTTTTGTCTAGTGAATGTTGGTTAGAGAAAGTGCTCTTTTAGTCACTGCATTACTGTAGGGTATTGCAAAGTAAAATTGACAAAATTTGAGAAGTTCCTGAATGTTTCTATGCTATTGATACTTTTGAAAAAATTACACCATTTTTCATCAAGAGTTTAATTTTTATCAATATCAGAAGTTGTGACATATTTTTGAACATTGTAAAGCTGATTAAAAGGTTTTGAGACATCTGTGATAAAATCTTTTGCATAGCTTTGTGCTTATTCATTGAAAATTTAATATTGAATTTGTGACCTAAATATTACTTTTCTTACTTGTGTATGTAGGTTGGCAATAGGTAAAAATGAATTTAGAAGAACAGAATGGCATAACTAATCCTGAAGTAATAAGTATATGTAATATAGGGGCAGGACTCAAATTTAAAGCTCCTAAAAGTTGTAAACAGATGTTTGAAAAATGTGAAAAATATACTTTTTTAATATTTTGCCCTTTTTTTTTAAAATTGTAATGTATTTAATATGCACTTAAAAATCTGTAAAAAATTTAGTGTCTGCAAGAAAGTAAAAAAGAATTACTTTTATGTCCCTTTGTTTAATTTATTTTTCTTTTTTCCCCCTTCTCCTTTTTTTTAGTTAAAAGTTAATGAATTTTCATTTATGACTTGAAATGTACAAAACTCTAAAATACACACAGCCTTAAATCTAATGCTGTGTAAAGTTTTATTTTCTACTGTATTAATTTCTTCATGAGGAGAAACTGAATAGTGAATAAAGATTTCAAAAAGACATTATGGAATGTATTATAAACATGAAACCTGAGTAAACTTAAAGACTACTTTCAAATGAGTGATGATGAAGTCATTATATTGTGTAAATCTAGCACAAGAAGATTCTGATCATTCATGAAGATAATGATGTAGAAAATGCTGAAAACATACTATTTGATGAAGGTTTGACTTTAGGAAAAAAATGTTTGAAATTTCTAGAATACTAAAGCTGTGGGACTGTCAGGAAGTAATAACTATGTATAATTTGAGTGGCTAAGAATAACCTTTCAATCCAGAACATTCTAAAGCTTTAAATAAATGTTTGACCAAATAAGTAAATAAATAAATAAATATAAATAAATATAAATAAATAAATAAATAAAAAAATAAATAAAATAAAATAAAATAAAATAAAAAAACATATGTATATACTTTTTATTTTCATTTTCTTTTTGTACGCTTTGCTTTTTGTTACTCTATAAAAATGTCAAAGAAATTAATCCTTTTTGTATACTGTCTTTTAATTTTCTATGCTTTTTCCTTTCTTATTAAAATATTAAATGTAATGATTTGATTTTTCTTTTATGATCTTAATTCTTCCCAGTTGTAGTTCCCGACTTGCAAATACAGCCTACTACACTGTAGCTATTGTTGCTATAATCACTTTATACATCCTGTTCTTCAGTAATTTAAGTTACATACAAATCCAATGTTCTCAAGCACATACCTCATTTTTCATTCATACCTCCTCAATTCAAACTGGAGACTTCCTACATTTCGTCTATACCCATCTCCTATATAGAGATTTTATGTTTTGATATATTTTATTATAATGCACAGAGGTCATTATTTTATGCAAGAAAATAATTATTTATTTTCATCATAAAAATATAAGTTTTATATAAATAGATAAAGATGACATTTCTGAGGGGGGGTACTCACCATTTCAATGTTACTTTGCATTTGTTGCACTTTTTTGATTAGGCAGGTTTTAGTTGAGTAGGGTTTTATTGTGTATTTCAGTTTCTATCTCAGATGGCAAATTCAAGGCCCTTATAATTTCAAAAAAGGGAGTCAAGAGGAGTATTAGACCTGGAATCACAATCAACAATAGCAGGATAAAAACCATGAAAGAATTAAAATACCTCAGCCTTACATGGGATCAGAGACTGATTTGGATTCCTTATATTAAAGAAACAATGTACTTGGCATCAATCCCAAGGAAACAGTTGGAAATGAAATTTTTACATTCAAAAGACTATCTACTCAACTATCATAGAAAGAATGGTTAAATATTTTTCTCCAGTTTGGACCCAGCTGGTGCAAAGAAGTAAAGAAAAACATCTCAGCATCCAGCAGCCTTTTGCTGTAAACTTCACAATGGCATTTTTCACAACAACAACTGCTTTGGTTAATGTCCTGGCAGATTTAACACCATTGCATATACATGTTGAGCAAAAAAGCAGTTCACAACAACAACTGCTTTGGTTAATGTCCTGGCAGATTTAACACCATTGCATATACATGTTGAGCAAAAAAGCAGTTCACAACAACAACTGCTTTGGTTAATGTCCTGGCAGATTTAACACCATTGCATATACATGTTGAGCAAAAAAGCAGTAATTCAATCAGTATTTAATCTTTGCACGCCCATAAGCTTCTTCGGTGAGTTGAATAATCCAAAGAATCAAGAAATGCTAGCGATAACGCTACATGTTCAACTAGCACTTAAAGGGTAAAGTGTAAACATACATCTGCACCATTGTAACACCCCAGCAACAACACTTCGGCCATATACATGTATAGAAGACAAAGTTGTCAGTGCACCAGTTCTTTAGCATGGAGGAGTAAGCTTACTGGCATGCTAGGGTGAGTGGAAATAAAACTGGTGACAGCCAAGTAAGCAACATCAGGAAGTATTCATTATCTTCAACCAGCATTATGGTCACACTTATAGTTGAAGAAGCAACTGAAATGCAAGGCACAAATCAAATGGCAAACAGAGTTGGATGAATATGAACAAGGCTGCAGTACATACTACTATATCACACATGTAGACAAACACAGCATCACTTTCCCACAGTTAACAAGCTTTATTATAGGACATGGTCAGTTTCCCAAATATTTTAACATACACAATGTTAACACTGATCTTTGTGTTTGTGGAGAAATTGGTACTCCTAACCATTATTTTACCATCTGCTCACTGACCGAAGAACACCACCTTAAATCCCCAGCAACAATATTCAAGGCTTTTGCAAGTTTATGTTAAAACAGTGTCATCTAGTGGCAAGTATTGCTTTGATTATCGACAAGTTTGCAAAACTCAAAGCTGACCTATGTCTCATTATATAACAAAAAACAAACAAAAAAAAAAAAAACCACTTTTTTTGGGTGTGTGTATGTAATAGAACCAGTGCTTAGAGTAGAGTAAGAATTACTCTACTCTTACTCTACTCTAAGCAATATTTACCCAGTTTGTTTCTAAACGTTTAACTCTCTTCTTTGTAGTATTACTGTATTTGGATGTCTCTCAATGTGCATTTATAAATTTCTGTGCAGTCTGTAAGTGTGTATTCTTCTGTAAAGCGATGAGGATCAGAAATAATGTAATAAGTATGTAAATTATGTAAGTATGTCCTAAGCCACAGCAGCTACACTATCTTACAACGTTATTTGATGTATCTTTTAATGCTAGATATGTGAGGACGAGAGAATGTTGTCTCCATCTCTCATTAAATGTGTATATTTCTGTCTGAAATGGGTTGTATAATTACTTATTTAAATATAGAGAAATTTCTCTTAGTTACCATCTCCCTAAGACAGTCAAATCTGAAAGAGCTTGGTATTTTTGAGAAAATAATGAAATATTGGTACGGAACATTATTGATAATCATATTTTCTAAAAAACCTCCTTCAGGAAAGGCTAAAATTATCTTGAATCATTGGATATCATTCTTTTAAATTATGCATAATTTGGGGGGGGGACTTTATTAAAAAAGATAATGAAATGGAGTTTACATTCTACATATCCTGAATATTTTCCTTCTGTTATCACTGCTTTTATTGCTTTCATGTTTTCTAAAAAAATCACTTAACTTTGTTGTTGGCTATCATTTACTAATTACAAAACTTTTCGTGTTGTATTTTGGAATTATGTTCTGTATTTGTAAATATTTTGCTTTGATTGTTATCTCCCTTTGGAAAGCAGCAACTAAGTTTTAATAAAACATTTTTTATAAATTTATATAATGATGTAAAGAAGTCCAAATGTATTTTTTACTGATGTCTTTGAAAATAATTTCCAAATAAATAAAATTTATGTGTTTTCTGTATATATATGTGTACTTAATTGTATAAATTTAATCAAGTGCTTAATTTAAACTTTTATATATTCATAGTGAGGAAGAGTTATTTATTAAAGATAAATCAGAAATTTTATGGTCTAGAGATAACAACAGTTTTTCCTCAGAGAATGAAATATATAGAGAAACATTGGAAAGTTTTTCAGATATGACTACTAGAACTGCTAGTTCTTGCTCTTGGCATAATGATGTAAGTTTTCTCATCTTTATATGCTTTTAATTATACAAACCTTTTTTTAAGCTATGCAGACTGAATTTAATTTCAAATTTATACTAAATATACATTGTATGAGATGTTGTATTTGAAAATGGCCATGAAATTTTTGTGGTTAGAGTCTGAAGGGTACCTCTTGCATTATCGCGAAGTTGTTGTTTCATTTATCGCCAAGTTGTGGTTTTGTTTATGGTAACCTGAGTAGTTGAATGTTTCATAAATATACTTTTACCTAGAATTGGATGCTCCTTTGACTTTTTAAGTGAAAATATATATCGATGTGTACATGGACAAGGTCAAGGGACTGCGCAGTGCCAAGTTTGTGCAATTCTCTGATGTTTTTTTAAGTGAAAATAGGTCGATGTGTACATGGATAAAGTCAAGGAAGTGCGCAATGCATAGTTTGTGCAATTCTGTGATTTTTTTTTACGTGAAAATACGTCAGTGTGTACATGGATACGGAGTTTGTGTAATTCTTTGACTTATTATTTTGTCTTTGTGTATTGGCGATTTTTGGTGTTAAAATTCCCGCTACACAAAGCCAAAATAACAAGTCAAAGAATTGCACAAACTCGGTATCCATGTACCGCCAAAAATCGCCAAGGGGTACCCGTAAATATACTTTTACCATTTTCGTGATAATTTTATTGTTTTATATTGTAACCTTTTCTAGATTGCGACTGCTTAAACTAGGAACCAGTGTATGAGATTCTAATTTACTATTTGATTTACAAATATTTAAAGCTATTATATTCTCAGACATAGTAGAGTTTTGTGAACCCATTAGTTTTTAACCTACCGAACCACAGTGCAAATGAACATTCAGTTATTTTGCTGTTATTGCATTCCATTGGTATTCTTAGAAATGAACCTAAAGCTGAGGCGATTATTTCCTGGCATTACTTACTCCCGGAAGATTAAATAGATTTTTAGATGAAATGGCATTAGTTTTGCCTTACAAGCTGAGGTATAAAAACAGTGCTGTAATTTTAAATGTTTGCCTGAGTAGCTGACTTAAATAGCCGAAAATTAGGCAAATGATTTTTAGTCTTATGTTATTTGGTCAGAAACCATTCTATTGCTTGATAATGCATCTTTCCACCTGTCAGTAACCACTTCACAGAGCCATTCTCTCCTGAAATAAGTATGTATACTTAGTGATCTCACATGCTTTCCATTATTTGTCTCCTTGCAGTACTTTTGCTTCTAAAAAACTATGTATATTTACAAAAGTATTCTTTCAAAGGAAAGTTTCTTTTCTGACAAGGAAGAGATTAAAGGAATGCAAAACATTCTGTTCTTAGAACTATGCCAAAACAGACCTCTGTAAGCTGTCTTTTTAATTACCTGTCATATTTGTATTAAGCTTGGAAGTTGCATCAATGTAGACTCTGCAACATTTCCGTTTTTTTAAAACACTCTGACTACTTTGTAGAATCTTTGGGGTATTTTGATGCTGAAATGCGGAAAATCGGCAGTGCCCTTGCCAGGACATGAACCTGGACCTCTTGAATACACACCGAGTGTGCAATGAAGGCATACTGGAATGAGGGAGAAAATACCTTAATTGCCATACTGTGAATACCTTCAATTACTTAATCTTCAGTTAGTCAAAAATTTTTAAGTGTGTATTCCTTCAATTTTTTCTTATTGAAACTTGATTCTATTTGGAATAAGATGTCTGACCTAAATTTGTTGAAGAATCAGTAATTTATACAAAGTAGTGTATGGATATCACAAAAATGTTTTTAGTGTTAATGTAAAATCATTAAGTCATTAAGAAGATAAAATATTTATTTATGTATTTTTTATTTTTATTTATTATAAAATAAGTCTTTTTATGTTATGCTATTTAAAAAAATGCAATTTAAAAAATGAAGAATTTCAACTTATTTGGAAATATGGATAATATTTTATTTAATTAAATGTAGAATGATAAAAATGTGCAAAGCAATAGCACAGTGATAAAAAGATGGAAATTTTTTTGTATGCATATCATTCTTAATTAAAATGTAGATTATGTATCTTTCCTAAAAATGGTTCACTGAAAGGGATATTAACCCTGCTTTATGGTATTTTCTATTTTAATGTTGAATGCAGTTTTTTAGAGTATCATGATGAATACTGGATCTTGGGTTACAAAGTATTCTTTTGAAAGAAATGCTATTCAATAAAGTCAAATTAAATTTTTTTTTTAAAAAAAAAAAAAGAGGATTATGTGAATAAATACACAATGGGAATGAATAAATAGAAACTTTTTAAATAGCTATTTGAAGAACTGCTGTAATTCAGTTGCGCAAATCAAATAATTAAAATAAAATTCTTTAAAAATAAAATAAAAAATGTCTAGGATTAAAAATTGTATTATACAAATGTAAATTATAAAATGAAAATATTTCAAAGAAAGAAAAAACACAACATTTTTTCCACACATTTAAAAGAGAGGGAAAGCAAAAAGTTTAACATAAATTAAGAATTTGCCAAGTGAATTACTCTTCATAGAAAGTGAAAAAAGTGTGCCAAACTATATTTTGGGATTACTCAGTATGTTTCTGACCAAGTTTTACTAAATTAGGTTTTTAGATATAATTTGAGTTGTATAACTGAAATATAGAGAAAAAAATTGGCATATCATTAAAAAAAATTGATTTTGTGTCATAATACATGTGTTAGAATAATGCAACATATAAATCTAATATATATTTTAAGTCACTCTTTTGAGACTTGAAAAATGCATGGCCAAGTAGAATGGAAAAACTCTACCCCTTTTTTTCTTTTTGTATCAATGTAAATAGCCTTTAAAAATCCCAATAAATTATTTATTCACAATTATGATGTAGATAAATTACAATGTGTCTACATGAGAGACATTTCTAATCTCTATAATGTTTTTGGAGTCAGTAGCTATGATGAGTAAATGGCCAGTAGATACAAAAGAATATCCCCCCCCCTCCCGTTACTAAAAGAGCAGCTATGAGGCTTCTTAAAGTCAACAAAAAGTTAAAAAGTATTTAAAATTTTGTAATTTATCATAAGCTTTGTAATAAATTCTAAATTCGTTGCTTATATATTCAAGTTAATTATATTAAGCAAATATTAACGTACATGCTTTTTGATAATTTTTAGCCCAAAGGGCGTTAGTCCAGAAGAGCTATTAATTTTGTTTTGGCATTTTGCGTCAATTCACTTTCTGTGTTCATACACTTGTCAAATTGTTGCCGTCAAATATTGCAGCCCTGTATCATATTTAAAGAAATAATGAAGAATCTGCATAAATGCATGTTTTTTGCATTGTGATAAAACAATGGAGCCATCAAATTTTGAATAACGTAATCCTCCATTGAATGTGGACATCTGGAAGCCATAATTTGGAATTTATTTTATTACCTATTTCATATTTTGTTAGCCATTAGAGAATTTTTTATTAAAAAACTCAACGATTTAAAAGCAAGGAATGGCAACATTGTATGAAAGAAAAAACATTTTTATCTCCGGCATGAGAGACTCTGTATCAGAGTTTCTAAAGAAATGCTCATTTTAAAATTATTTTGCAATATTGCTGTTGAACTGAATTTTTAACATTCAAATGCAAAAAACATGATATTTAATAAAAAAAGGTAACACACAAAATGTTAAAAAATGCCCCTTTTGGGCCTAATGTAAGATCTGAAAACTTTAAGATTTTGTTCCCTTCTTTTCCTTTTTTTTAATGGTATTTAATGCATAGTTCATAATATCATTTTTGAATGCAGAGCTAAAATTACATTAAGAACAACTGAAATTTTCAGAAACATTTTCTCATCAGAAGCCTGTGTTACTTATCAATCAAATAATCATTTTAAAGCTTTTTAGCAATAGAAATTCCTGTAACTAGAGCATTATAACATTAACGGGTACTTTTCGTTGCTCATCTGCCATAGTTTTTAGCACTTGTAAAAGAGAAGGCAAACACACTCATGAGACCCAACAATAGTACCATCTGGGGACTGTGTGTATGTAAACAGAAATAATTAAATACACACACCTATTATTACAATAGTATCACTAAAATGTGTGGCATGTGTATAACAGTAGAGTACAATGCAAATTTCTGATATTTAATATTCGAACAGTCATAATTTGCAATGTTAAGATTTCTTTCTTCTTTTGTGTTATAGGAATTTGACATAAAATCTGTCAACAAAGTAAATGCATCTTTAGAAGCAATTGAAGATGCATTATATGAGCGAAAAGAGTCTCCTTTTATAAATCAGGAACTATTTCGAGAATGTTGTGATTGGTCTGATAGATTTCCTTATCTAAGGTATATCACTTGCATATTCTCCTCTGTATGCATATTTTTAAAATTTTATATTTAGTTTGTTATTGTTTATCATTTAAATCTTGCTTGCCTGTTTGTACTATGTATGACAATAAAGTTTGGGTGAATGAAGTCCTAGATGCTCATGCATAGTAGTAGGTAAATGACAGTGCTTAAAAATGATGCTTCATACCATGTTTGATCTTGTCCGAGTTCAGCATAGAAATAAGCATTAGGGATTTCTCACTCAAGCAGATAGCAGTGACTATAAAATAGAGCTGCAAGCGAATTTAAAATTCTGTTTCATTTGTAGTAAACAAGCCATGACATGCTGAAACAAGTTTATGGAAATTATATCTTAAAAGTACATTTATAAATTATTTAAACATTTTCTGGATAGACAGGTTTCCATTGAAAATGCTGCTGGAAGTAGCAGGCCTATTGATTTCTCATACTGAAGAAAACATTTAAAAAGTAAAGAAGCTTTGGATCATCATCATATAGTATGAAGAATAGTGCATATGTTAGAAATGCATTTCCAAATGAACTATCATCTGCATTCAGAATGTGATGAGAGTAGGCACTTAGATCCTTCATGAAGATGCTCACCCACATATGACCCTTGTCGTGAAATAGTTTATGCTCTATAGAGGAGTTGGAGCATTCAATCTCCACAGCACTCACTTGAACTCATTCCAGCAGACATTTTTCAGTTTCTGCAACTGAAATTGAGCTCTTACAAGAAGAAAGATTTTTAGATATTCTATAATTCAAAGGCATGTGATGAGGGTTTGTCATGCAGCATTGAAAAAGAACTTTTCTCCAATCAATAACTTTAAAGTCATTATGTAAAAAGTGTCTTGCAAACAACAACTTCAAAGTACTATAAATCATTTTCCTTGATTTAAGTAAGAATCTTTTGTTTATGAAGTTCATGAACTTTATTTTTTTACCATACTAGCAAATAACAGATTATGTTGTTTCTTCAAATTTGTAAATGTTGTAGATATATTTTAATTTGTATTTATTTTTTTTTACTTGATTGATTTGTTACTTTTTAGGAATTTTAATGTAAAAATATTGCTTTGAAATTTTTCCATTGTTTTTTAATTTAAAATTTTAAATTCATATAATTGAATATTTTAGAATCAACATATTAAAATCATCAAAAAATATGTTAATTTATTGTCAAAAAATATTATGGACAGTATTTTTAATAAAATGAAAAAAAATTAAGTATAATCATGCATATATGTATGGTTTAAGCTCAGATATCAGTGTTTTATATAACTTGTAGCATAACTGTTATTAATTAGCAAGTATTGGTCATCTCCATATGCTATAATATGTTACTTTTGAATAGGCACTTTGGAGGCATTTCCTCACATCTATCTTGCCATCTAACTATGTTAACAACAGCTGCAGCAGGTGGTTAAGTTCCGTAATTGTTTTTCCCCACTTCATGTCCATTTAGGATGTTTCATTTAATGGAAAGTGCATGAATGAAGATTGACTTAAACTAGAGTTTCAGATAAGATGAATTAAAATAACTGTGCAGTGATGACAACATGTGTTACAATTACAAATAAGAGAGGGTTGGAAAAGCCTTAGCTGCCTATATTAAAGTAACTAGACTATAGTTATGGAGAAGAACCTGGTAAAACTATAAAAATCTCCTGGTTCCAATACAAATGCATTTTTTTTTTATTTAACATAGTAAATAAAATTTTAGTAATACCAGTAAACATTATCTGCAACTTTGAAAAAAAATTTATAATTTTTTTTATATTTGTTTGTATGTTTATGTATAATTATGTTTTGATTCAAATGATAACTTGTCATTAAATTATACCTATATGTATTGTTAACATATGCTTTGTAAAATATAGTTAAATTATGTGAACTAACAATATAGCCGTGAAGTCTGTTGCTTGTTCATAATTACAATTTCAGATTTTTTTTAATAGATTAAAGGGAGAGCAAATTGTTAAGCCTATAGATGATAGTGTTATGTTATATTCTTCAAACGAGTGCAGTGTGAAACCATGCAGCTCTGAAAATACCAGTTTGTGGTTGGTCATATTTATAATTTTTCTTTAACATTAAGTGCATAACTTTTTTAATTAATTGAAACAAATCATTTAAGAGTTTTTAAGTTGTAGATTGCTGGAAAATTGTATAAAATATTGTGTCTCAATTTTATGTACTATTGAGTGTAAATTAGTTTTCTAATAACTTCGTTATTTGGTATTAAATATAATTGTCTCCAACATTTAGCTCTAAACTAAAATAAGTCAGCAAACGTGCTTGAAACCAAGTTTATTTTTATTAATATTGTTGTATATGTATGGGTTTATAATAGACTGAATGCACACAGAACCGATAATATCTTGATAATATTTATTTTGCAAAAAGAAACATTTTACAGTTCTGAAACTTTCCACAAAAATATTCATGCAGCTATTTTCAGTATCACAGAGCAAAATCAAAAGTTATACTTCAAACCACCTAAAATGTTAAACACAACACAATGCAAAGTGCATCTTAAAGGTAAGGCTGCAACGATATCTCAGTACTCCAAATCCAGCTCTGAACTAATAACTGAGAAACTGATGCCCTCTCCTGTCTTATATAGTTTTCCCCAAGTGACCAAGAAATCTGTAGTACCTTCCATTTCTCTAAATTACTGGAGGTCATATGAGGGCCAGTTACAGTTACATGTAGAGATAAATTACAGTTATTCAATTACAATATCAATTACAGTTATAAAGGGACTGAATCAATATGTCACCAAATGGTTGCCAAGTTTGGTGGTTTATCAGCAAATAAAAAAAAATAAAAAATAAAAAAATAAAAAAAAAAAGTTGCCAAAACCATCACCAGCTTGCCGATATCTCGCCAAGTTAGCAAGATAGCCATTTACATCAATGTTAAGTAAATTTGCCTCTTCAATCATATTTATCCAGCAGAACTTCATCTCTTTCAAGTATTTCACGTTAGATTATTTTTAAAAAAATGTTACAATTTCTCATATAATTTCACTGAATTTATTTACGCATATACAAAATTTGTAACATTGCCCCCTACCCAAGGACTGCACATTTCGAGCAGTACATTCCCTGGACAGGAAGCCTTTCTTACAATATTGAAAATGAATGTAGTACTAAAGCAATAGTTTTAATAAATGACATAAAACAAATTATGTACTAAATTGATAAATAAATGCATAAATTTGCAAGTTTATATACAAATATGCCCATGCTCTAAGTGTACTATTTGCATTATATACACTACGAGGACTGTGTACTATGGCTATAGTAAGGGCTAGCTTGTCGTAATGAATGACTTTAGGCTTACAATTTGATGAGTTATGGATCTAAAGATGTCATTCAACCTGTTTAGGACTGTGTAAGGACCGTCCCAGAATGACTAGTTTAGAAGAGAGTCCTTTTCATTAAATCGGATTCCATAACCATACCTTATTACCTTCGTTTAATTCATGTCCTGTAGCTCTCATGTTGTATTGCGTCTTCATCTTCTCTTTCGCTCACTGTCGTGCGAAATTGTCTCTTCAAACCATGCCTGGAGATCTTGGATGTACTCCTCAGGCAATGTCTTGCAAAGTGATGATGGTTTGATAAAATTTATTTTACCAAAGAAACATTTTATAGTTCTGGAACTTTCTACAAAAATACCTGTACAGCTCTTCTCAGTATCACAGAACACAATTAGTTGTTACATTTCAAACTACTAAAAATGTTAAACACAACACAATTTCAAAATGCATCTAAAATGTGAAGCTAACACAGAAATATCAATACTCCAAATTCAGCTTTGAAATAAACAACTGAGAAAATAACAGCCTGTCTGGTCTTATTCCTCTGGCTGCTGAGAAATCTCTTGTACCTTCATGTCTCAAAATTACTGGAAAGCGTATGAGAGCTGGATACAGTTACTGTTACATAGAGGGATCAAGTTAAAGCGTATGAGAGCTGGATACAGTTACTGTTACATAGAGGGATCAAGTTAGTTATTCAATTATAATACCAGTTACAGTTAGTTATAAAGGGACCAGGTCAAAATGTCACCAAATGGTCGCCAAATTTGGAAACTTTGGCGATTTCCCACCAAATTTGGCAACAAAAATTTATCATCAAAACCATTACCTGCTTGGTGATGTCTTGCAAATTTATCGATATAGCCATTTACCTTTAAAATTGACTTTAAAGCCAGTTAAATTGACTTTGCCCTTTAATATTATTTTTCTGGCAGAGCTTCATCTTGTTCAAGCATTTTATGTCAAATTATACAAAAGAATGCTTCAATTTTGGATATAATTTCATTAAAATTATTTATATCTATTACATAGCATTGTTACACTGTGTATGAAATATATGTATTTACAAATTAACTTTATAGCAAAACCAGTTAAACTTCAGAGTGCCAGTCTTTCATGTATGCCATCTGTAAATCACTGTAATTGCATGAATATGAGATAATAAAGTGCAGCTAACAAATGCGGATTTTATGTTAAAATTACATTAAACCTATTAAATACTACCTATTAAATGTTAATAATAGTTTTGTTGTTTCTTATTTGCTGCTATCTTATATATGTAGACTTTTAAATAAGAAAATATTGTTTTATAACAGTTGTTTAAAATAAAGCAAACAGACCTGTTTTTTAATATTAAGAGTTTGAATAGCATTAATTAAAAATATTTGTTGCAATAATAAGTTCTTGGGTTGTCTTCAAATCAAAAGTTTTAAACAAATATTAAAAAAAAAGACTTATAAATAATAACATATACTGAAATTTCTCAGGATATAAAGAAATTTGAGTTTTTGAATCTACAGTCAGTGTTACATATAATTTATGAATCATTAAAAATTTTCTAAAATAACAAATCTGAATAACAATTTAGTTTGGATAGTTAGTTTAGTTAGGCAGTTTTATTGTAGCATACCTTGTCTCTGCTAGAAAAGATTTATGTGCATTATAACATTTCCATAAATTTAGTAGTAAAGTATTTTGTTTTGTATTTGAATTTAATCAGAACAATCTAACTTTCAGTAAAGAGGCATGTTTTTACCCTTGTATAGCTATTTTTTTTTTTTTTTTTTTTTTATTATTATTATTATTATTATTGCAAAATAATGGATGCTGCCATACAGATGAAAAATTGAGAGTTTTTAAAATGACTACTATCTATTAAAAAATAATATTTATTGTCATTAAAACTTGATTCCAAAAATTTGTATGTCTCAAAATAAATTGAAGGACTATATTGAGCTTTATTTTAGTTACATTGGGTGTAGATTATTTCAAAATGTTTTGTAAATATTTCTATTTCTTTGTAATTCAATTTTTATGTATTTTAGTTTTGTTGTGTATTTTTTATTTATTCGTTTATTTAATTAGAACATTTTTGTATGCCAATTTTATGTTTATGTATTGTTTATCTTAAGTTTTTGTCTACTTATTGTATTTGTGAGTGTTTTATTTTCTGTATAGTAGATCTGTAAATTATAAGTTGAATGACTTTAGAATTGTAAGGATTGGTAACTAGAATCAGAGACATGGGTAGAAACCATCCTACTGGGCTCTAGCAACAGTTTCCATCACTGGCTTAGCAACAGTTGGCTATTTTTCTCAATCCTGGCAACATTCTGAAAGTTTCCAGAAAATGATTTTTTGAGACACTACAAAGGATTTTTCTTGAATCTTCTAGAAAAAGCTACCATCTCCATTTAACAGCCCTATAAAACTAGAGAACTGTGAATGGCAGTGGATCAGTTGGATAAAGATTCTTCATCTGTTTTATGATTTGCTTTGTAAGCGATTTTGGTGATCTGTGATATTCCTTGTATATGAAAGATAAGATAACATGATTAAAATTATATGCTAAATCTCTGTTTGCTTCCTTAGGCTATTTAAACTTGTTTAATTATTTAAGGAGCTCCCTTTAAGACCACAATAGAGTGTTTTAGGTTGTAATAAATATAATGCTGTTTAGAAGCAAATATAACCACCGACATAGTACATAGTATAGATTTTCTGTAATGTATTTATTTCAATTCATTTTATCTTTTGAGATATGAATGTAATTGCATAAACTATCATATTATTTCATTATATTTAATACCATTACTAGGCTATGTTTTGACAGTTACAATATAAAAGTTTGAAATAAAAGCGATCATATTCATGTGGGAATAGAGCTGCAGCCCTCCATCAGATGGTGCAGCTTACATCTGTGGTAGGAGCACAGTTGGTTTTAGGAGTACGAGAGAATCGGTCTAAGTGCTCATGAAGGAGCTACAGCAAAGTGCTTATTGATTGCACATAGGCGATCAGATCTGGACTGATCTAAATTGGCCACATGCAGATGGTCAACTGTTATCATTTACCTGTACATGAGAAAGTGGCTACATTTGAACTAAATGAGCTGATGTGATCCATAGAATTGGAAAATGATTTAAAACTGGTCATTTTAAAATATATTGTATACATCTTCTGCTTTATCTAAATAATATTGATTTATTCTAATGATAAGGTTTTAATATTCCTCATTTCAGTGTTATAAATGTTGCTAAAAAATTTTAAAACTTTAGATATGTAAATGAAGCTTATGATTGGATGTTCTGGTTTCAGTTTGCAGGTGGAAGGTAAGAAAATGTCTATTCATACACCACGCAAAAATCTGCCAAAAATGTTCCTTGAAGATGCTTCTGATAATTTTGATCAAATACCAGATTACATTGAAGAAATAATGGAAGAAAATGGTAATTATGAAGAATATCTTGCCTTAGACAGCAGGTAATATAATTTTCTTTTATAAAATATTTTCTCTTATAAATAATATTTTCTAAATTCAAAAATAATGTTTTTATATATAATATATTTCTAATATTCAAATAAAATTTCGGTGATAAATAATGTCAATAAAGTTAAGTAGTATTTATACACTTTATAATAACTTATATGTATAATAATGTAGTATATATAATGATATGACAATCTCTGTCCAGTGAATAATCCCATAAACAAAAGATTCTTTCCTATATTAAAAAGAATTCCTCCGAAGTATATTGATTTTTTGCAATGCACTTTCTTTGCCAATGACTGTACACTTCTTAAAAACTATGGGCAAATTCCTCTTTTGGTATCACACAGAGAACATTTTTATTTTTTATGTATCAAATGCCTGTCGTTTGGTCATTAGGCCATAGACAACGGGCTGTCTAATATCTCGTGACACACACAAAAAAAAAGAGATAGGGCAAGGCACCTGTCCACAATCATATCTTGTCCAGTCATACAAAGAAAACACGTAGGAGAGTCCACAATGTTAAAATGAAAAAGATGAGCAGAGGCAATTGTGTCTAGTTAACATTCTAAAAGCTGCAATTGCAGCTGCATGAAGTGAGTCAGGAAAAAGTTGTGGTCTAGAAAAGGAGCATTCCAATTTCTGCCATTTGAAAAATGTTAAACTGTATCATGAAGAAAGCACCTAGAAATCCTAGCTATTTCCGGTTTAGCTGAATGGAATCGCAATTTCAAAAGGGATTTCTGAAGAATGGAAGATCTCTTTTTGGCAAGATAATCAGGCCTGTCATTTCCCTCAATGCCACAGTGGGGGGGGGGGATTGACTGAAATGATACCCTATTATGAAAATTCTCAAGCAAAGTCCTGCATCTTAGGATGCAGGTGTTCTCAACCTCTTTATTAGAAGAAAAGCCTGTAGTACAAAAACAGAATCAGAAAAGATCAAAGCTCTTTTAAAGGAGTTTTGTCATATAAAAAGTTGTTCAGTTGATATAAGAAGAGACTCCATCTCTTCATCAAAGCGAGTTATGAAATTTCCAACTGGAAGGTGAAAACAAAAAAGTTCACTAAATATGCTAGCTCTAGTTGCCTTATGAAAAATCAGAAAGCAAACCATCAGTATAGACATGTAATCAGTTATCGGAAGAGTAATGATTATGGATGGTCTTCAAAGCGATCGTTTACAAGGCCTTATGAGGAAGATCCAACTTTCTAATTTTCTTAGTTAGATCCTACCTGACATTGAGATCCATGTAATGAAACAGGTAGGGAGGAATAAGCAACTCAATTGGCAAGTCATTAATAATTTGGTAACATTTAATATCACGGATACATTGCATAAAACTTCTCTGAGTCTTCAAATTGCATTTTGAATTAAATTCATTGTCATTCCAAAAAGCATCGTTTGGAAGCCTGACTAGCTTATTATCTAGAGCAGTAGCCCTTCTTTGTATCACATTGATCATGGTCTCAGTTTTGGTCAAAAGTTGTAAGGTCAACACAGGGGTAGTTTTAACTCCATCAGTAATGATTCTTAAAGCTTGGTTTTGAAAGACTTCCAAAAGCCTTATCACATTAGCAGAAGCAGATACAAGCACCTTAATGCAATAATTTAAGTGAGAACTTTTGTCACATGACTATCTGGAATATCCAAAAATCATTCTTCTTTATGACTGTATGACAGCTAAACCATCACCAAAATTAGCAGCATTATTTTTGTGTTTCCTACTAAATCTTTTCTTTTCAAAACAGGTCATTATCATGACTGACATTATCATTACATTTAAATAAGTAAGTTTGTTTTAAAACAATCCTGCTATTTGCATTTAATTATATTGAACTTTTCCATTTAGTGTAACAAAGCATAATGGATATTTTAATAATAGGATCATACAAAAGTAAGGTTTTATTTTTGCAGAATCTTTCTGCCTCTAAAGCTAAATCTATATTAATAAAATTCTTCATTTATTTTATGAAACTTTGTAATTCATAGTATCTGTCTAGGATTAATATTAATGAAAGTATGCTTATAATCACTTTTTCAAAATCCAGTGTTCTTCAAACTGCGAAGTCCTTAAAATAATTTCATGGAAGCAGTCTTAACATTAATAAAAAAACAATATAATAGTGTAAGGCAGCGTGGTGCAACCCATGGCCCGAGGGCCGCATCCGGCCTTCTTATTTATTTTTTTGGCACTTACCCACCCTTCTTTACTGGAAAAAGATTTTAGTTAAACATTTGGAAAAACAAAAGACCCTTCTTTCTTCTTTAAATAATAAATAATAAATAATTATATTAAATATAATAATTAAATAATAAAAATTATAAGGCTCAGACAATAAAAACTGTTGCAATTTTAATGAGGCAAAGCCCAGAGACACTGAGCATTTATTGCATTTGTGGACAGTTTGGATGCTGAGTATGGTGACATTTCATTGTACTGTCAAGTGCGCTGGCTAAGTGCTGGAGAGTGTCTGCAAGAGTTTTTTGGGTTGAGGAATAAAATTCTTGCTTTCCTTAAAGAAGAAAACACTGGGCATGAGTATCAAGAAAAATTGGAAGAAATCCAGTATTTAAATAATCTTGCTTTTCTGACACTTGAAACTACAAGGCAGAAAATAAAATATATCCCAGCTTTATGGACATATTGAAGGCTTTCACAAAAAACTTAATGTAATGCAAATTGCACTGAAGGCAAATAATACAGCACACATCCCATTTTTGTCAGCAGCTGAAAGAAGAAAATGACACAAATTTTAGTTTGTTTCATGAAATTACTTGTATCAAGAAAGAGTTCCAGAACAGATTCCAGGATTTTGATTCCCTAGAAACAAAATCTTCATTGTTAAACAAACCCATGGAGATTGAAGTAAGTGAGGGGCCTTGCTACCTTCAAATGGAAATTTGTAATCTTCAGGCAGATCCGTTCTACCAGACTAAAAAGTGTGATGTCACTGAACATTTCTGGAAACTGATTTCTAAATAACGTTTTCCCAAACTGCATAAATTCTCTTTGCAAATGTTATCACTGTTTGGCAGTATATATGTGTGTGAAAGTGCTTTTTCTGCTATCAAACAAATTAAATAAAAATGAGAAATTGCATTGAAAGTGCTTCATTGGAATCGAAACTGAGACTTTGCCTTACTGACGTTACAGTGGAAATTGATGAACTTGTATAAAAGAGCAGTGCCAATCATCACATTGATTTCTAGACTGTAAAAAAAGTGATCTATTAAACTAGTTATTAAACTAGATCTATTAAAAAAAGAAAATGAATTATATATAATTCATTTTCTTTCTTTAATGTCTCTGGCCCTCACTCTCCTATACTAACGTTTGATTGACCCTCGGGTAACTAAAGTTTGGACCACACTCGTGTAAGGTGAAATAGCTATTACTAATGCATAATAATAACAGTAATAATAATAAAAATAAAAATGATCTATGAAATATAATTGGGAAATAAAGATAACCTTGTAAACTGTCTTGAGAGTTCTTCCAAAAATGAAATCCTATCAATTGTTTTATTAACACAATACAATAAATTGTAAAGTAACGCAGTATAGATGAAAGTGAGTTGCATATCATAATGCTACACCTTTCTCAGAGTGATTGCCCCCCCCCAAGCATTCACCAGCAGCAGTTAGAGCTCACAAAAATTTCCAAGTTTAAATCTTAGGGGAAGAAATGTAAGGAAAACAATCTCATTTTAGATTTTTCCAAAGAAGGACAAATCCAGAATAAGGAGAAGGTTAAGTAGTTGTGGCTAGATTTGATTAGATTTGATTTTTTTATTATAGTTATTTAAAATTAGACCAAAAATGCAACATTTAGATTGATTTGAATTTTGAATAAAATTCCATTGATTTTGAGTGCACTTAGACATAGGCTTCTCTTCTTCCCATATCTGATCTCTCAAGTTCAAATTCAGAACTTGGCACATAAATCAGACGTGCTGTATGCACCTGTGTTTCCGCATAAATACTCTTTGGTGACGTTGTTTGCCACACAACTAAAAGGCCTGCCAGAAAGTTCTGTCTGATAATGTTATTTCAAATTTCAGCACACATATAAGTGTTCATTTGAGGCATATATGGCTATCTCTCTTTATCATTGCATTTATACATATGTGCTCTTCTAAATTACTTGAAACAAAAGTGTCGTGTCATTATTAAGTGAAAATGCGATTGTGCAAATATGGCTACTAATAAAGCTCATTTACAACATTATATTTGTACAAATTCCAACAAAGAAAAAATGCCACAGAAGCGTGTTGATATTTAGTGAAAGTTTTTGTTGGAGGTGCAGTTTCCAATACAATGTGCAGAAGATGATTTGAAAAATTTGAAGCTAATGAAGTTGATCTTAATGATAACCCATGCTCTGGGTGGTCATGTTTGATCAGTGGCGTTATTGTCAAGACCTTGATAGACAAGATCCTTTTTTGAGAACATCAGAGAATGCAGAAAATTTAGCTCAAGAAATGATTTTGGACCATATTCAAAAATAGGATTGGTCATATTCAAAATAGGATGCCTCATGATAGACTAGATGGTAATTTGTGATTAAAAATGGATTCATATGAAAACATCATTAGGAAAAGAGCATGCTACCAGTCCAGACAATTTGGCCCTTCCATCTGTAAACCAAGCTTGAGCGCTCTGTATATGATGGGATGTCCAAGAACCAATAAATTACGAGCTTTTGAAACCTAATGAAATGCTCAGTTTGGAGAGATATTGTCAGAAAATGGATGATGTAAACAAAGCAATCAAAGAAAAGAGGCTGGTGATGTTCAATAGGATGCACATCATACTCTATCATAATAATGCAAGACCACATGCTGCTTTGTAGACTGTAGTCAGAAAATCCCAGAGTTAAGTTAGGACATTTTGCTGCATTCACCATATTTCCCAGGCGTAGTACTCTATGATTGTCACTTGTACTCCTTGCAAAATTTTTGAAGGGGGGGAGGGGAATTCAAATTTAAAGAAAATGCCAGCCAAGCACTAATTGAGTTTTTTGCCATTAAGGACAAGACATGTTTAAAAAATTGCCATTATACTGGCAAGACATCATAAGTAAGAACAAAAATTATATTGTTCAATAAATGTTATTAATGGTATCAGGGTTGCCACGCTACCTGGAAAACCGGGAGAACCGGGAAAAGTCAGGGAATTCGAAAATTGACCAAAAAATTCAGGGAAAAGTCAGGGAATTTAAGTATTTTTGTCAAAATCTGGAAAAGTCAGGGAAGTTCATACAATGATCCCGCCAAATAAAGCGATTTTTGCGCCGACGTCGGAAGAGATAACTTTTTTGGCGAATTGCGTACCACGTGAGTGTCATTCGGGCAGCTGGCATAGAGCCAATTTTCGCAGCTCCAATTTGATTGTCTTTTAGAAAGGCAAAGCAAGTTTCCCGCAACTTTTGGTTTCCAGTATTCTCGAGAATAACATGTGCAGTGCATGAACTAAAGAAAGTACCTGTTCTCGTATAAAACAAAATTATACGAGAACAAAATGGGTTTAATCTTAGTATATGGTACCATGGAGGTTAGAATCAAAGAATATGTATTGTAAAGAAGGAAAACCTCTCTGCAACAGACGTGGCTCCGTTTCCCCATCATAGAGGGAAACAGCTGTGCATGCGTGATATATCTGCTGCCAAAGCTCGAAACCGGTGTGTGAAGTTCGAAGGTCACGTTATCAAGAGTTCATTAAATGAATATCCTTTAAATTTCTTCAACCACTTGCGCTAAAAAGACGTGCCACGCACGTCGAGATGTTTTTTGTCTCAAACTGCGAGCGACGTGAAACACCACGTCGATAAGCATTTATCGCAAAAATGAAAATAACATGGTGCACACGTCGCCTAACAACGAGATTGTTTATTTTTCGAGTTACAGCTCTGGATTGCACTCGCAGATGCGGAGCGGCGTAAAAAGAGACACTTTACTGCTTGCTATATTGTAGCGCACGGCACCGCAACCGTGAAGTTTAGTCTTAGCGCAAGTGGTTAAACTCTAAAGGAAAAGAAAATATTTTTTGGCGCAAGTAAATTAATTCATGGGTTAGTAATTTTCAGGGGGGGGAACTACGAACATCCGTTTTTAAAATTATTGCGACAAATCTAAGAAGAAACGTCCTTTGATAAAACCTTTCTTTCCTTTTATAAATTTCCTTTTTGCAATAATTTAAAAAAAAAAACGAATTTTCGTAGCTTTCTTTTTGTCAAAGAACGTTTCTTCTTAACACATTTCCTTAATTTCCGGTACACATCGCGGAGAAGGGAAATTCTGGCCGCCAGGTTCCGTCGCCAAATCCCTTGGCATATTTTCCCTCCCCCCCCGCATTTCTAGCGGCGTAATAGCATTTTACTTGTATGGAACCTTTCCTTCTTTGCATAGACGTTCTTTAGGTTAGAATAATCTCCAGGTATGGTATTTTAACCTCTATGTACGGATTTGGCGACATTATGATGAGCAGTAAACAGGGTCATTTTGGTCTTGGCGACAATTTTCAAAATCGTGCCAAGGCCTTACCGTATACTAGAATTTTACCGCAAAATCTTTTTAAACTTTTTTTTCATCTTTTTAATAAATACCTCATTTGCCATTTTGCAGTAAAATAAAAAAATAGTAATCAGTGTCATCTAGGCTAACCATGTAATATAACTTATATTCGCTAAAATACTATCGTTGATTATTCTTAATTCAATTTTTAAGTAATTATCTTTATTTTTATGTTATTCGTATAATTTAATGATGCTTCTTCCCTCTAAATTTATTTATTATTAGTAAATAATAACTTTCCAAATTTCAGGAAATTTTCTCTGGCATAATCTTGAAATTAATTCTAGCAGTATGATGACATACCATCACGAAATTTAATGCACATATTTTTTGCCTTATGTATGCTGCGAAATAAATATAAAATACCTCAATTTATTAAAATAGATTTCTTTCTTTCATTTAGCTGCAGAATGTCTGCAAAAAAGCCTTATTTTATTCCAGATTGGGAAGATTCTAATCTCAATCTTCAATGGAGAAAACAACAACTATTATAATTATATTTGTGTTTTCAAGTGTTAAGGTGCTTTTTAAGAACATACCTCACACAAATTAAATTTACCTAAAATCTAACCTAACTATTTAGCATTGCATCGTGATTTATAAGGACCGGATTAGCCTCGCGTTGAACTGGTGATGATCATGAGTAATAATTAAATAAAACATACATTTGTATCCAATTTATATATCTTAAATTTTATTAAGTTTCTTAAGTGGAAAAGTAAACAAAATTATCAAACAAAGTATACCAAAAATAATTAAGAATAAATGTCCTTTGGGATTTATTGAATAATTAAGTGAATTTGCTACACAATACAAGTAATACCATAATTAATTTACCTCTTAGCTTAGCCAAAGTACATTACGCGAATAGACTGGAATTTTCTTGAAACACACCTGGAAAACCTGGAAAAGTCAGGGAATTTCATTCTCCTGTTTGAGTGGCAACCCTGTGGTATGAAAAATGTGTTATTTTCTTTTGTTTCCAAACAGAATTTTCCAAAACTTTATGTTTTAATGGCATACTGCTTTGCCTCGTAAATGCTGTTTTGTAACTTTTCAGCAGGGGGGGGGGGGGGGGGGAATTATCAGAAAGTGCTGAATGTTTTTTGGCCCATGTGGTCCTCTCAAAGGAAAGCTCCACTTTTTTAAATCTAAAAATCATCTGCAGTATTTGATTTTTTTAATTTTGATATTTTTGATTGATTAATTTCTGAAATTGATTTTTTCCCCTCTTTTTAGTGAGTTCCTTGATAAAGAAATATTATCTACTCAACCTTTTCATGAATCTTCATCCAGTGCTACCGTTAAATCAATTCAAGAAAAAATCATTGATAGACTAGCTCTAGAAATGTGGCCAAAAGTATGCTTTTTTATTTTACACCATGCATGATAGCTGAATCGAAATTAACTTTTTTCCTTGTAAAACTACATTTTTTCCAGTAATATGTATTTTGCAGGTCATAGATGTTTTGAATAAATTAAGTGAAAGCAGTAATTATGGTAAGTTATGTGTTTAAAAGAATTTATGAATTTAGTGGAATAATTAGTTGTCAGAATTTTTTAAGTAATTAAAAGTTATTTCAGTAGAATTTGTTTTTCATGACATCTAAAATAATTAGCTATATTTGTGCAATATTAATACTGTAATAATTGATTTTCATATCTAGTTTTTCCAATTTTATATTTTTTCAATTTTAATGTCTTTCTAAAGCAAAATTAGTGATTATTTTTCAAAAATAGATTTCTGTTTAAGTTCTAGGGGAAGTAATTTAATACATTTTTCTTTTATGTTAAATAACTTTGTAGTCTGAAATTTTGTACAACATGGGCAAAGCCTGCCATCTCTTTATATGTAGTTCATACTACTTTCTGCTAGCTGCTTGAAGCTTGGTGATTTTCCTCATGTGTATAAAAAATGCAAATCAATTTCTCGTAGATTAATTCCTTAGACCAGATACTCTTTGCTTTAGAATAGTTAGATAATCTAGTTCAGATCTCCACTTCATAATTATTACTTTTCTGTCTAAAATACTGTGCTATCTTATTTTCTTGATGAAACAGTTTTATAATGTGTGTGCTATGCTATGAAAATAAATAAACCATAGATTCAGTATTGTCTTTAAATACTGTGTAAACACATTCATTTATTAAGAAAGCTATATAAGTTATGAAGGACCTGGCCATTTGATGGATTAAGCAAACTTTATTGTTAATAATAATAAATGATCAAATTTTTAACTGAAAAAAAAATTAAGAGATTTTAATATATATATATATATATTTATTTTTGGTAGTTTTCATACAAATTAGCAGAGAAAAATTGTGACTTAAAACATATTAGGACTTTAATGCAAATAGATGGGAACATATACAGTCAAAAGTCGTTAATGTGGATACCCATAATCCGGACCTCAAAGCTACAACCTTTCTGCACATGCGTCGCGTTGACACATGTGCGCGTAAGACTTTTACGGCTGCGAATATGTGTGTGCACATGCGCAAAATACGTTTACGCATGCACGTTTATTATATAACACACGGTATAAGCTAAGCTAAAATTATCTAATTCAGTTAATGTTGCAGATTGCGTTGTTCCTTAATCTTCGAATTGGATCCAGCTTATTATTTTTTGCAGACCTGTTAGAGCAATTTTATGAAAGTAAGCTTGAACTTTCGATTATGTCAAATAGAATTTGTGATATATATTTACTAATATGTAAAGGATCTACAAAGCGAAAGTATGTTTCGAAGTCCATTAAACAAAAGTGGAATTGCTGCAAAAAATGACCTAACCATTCTGAAATCTGTTTATAAATTTAACCCTGCTCTGTGGCGCGGGGGGGGGGGGGATGATGCGACACGCAATGTATTGGAAGTTGATTTGTCAGCACTATCCTTATCTTCAGGGCAGATTTTTTCATTTTATTTGGCTTATAATTCTTTACTAAATGTAGTATTTCATCTCGATGTACTCCGTCATTGATATGATTTAAATCAAGTTCCTCGTCATTATATAATTTGCTTCCGATACTGAAGAAAGTGACACGGAGGTTATTGAAAACGAAAAAATTTTTATTGACAAATTAGTCGGTATTCTCGACACAGCAATTATAGGACTTGAACAGCGGAACTTTGTAACTGAACAAGAAATTATGTCTGTTTATAGAATTAAAGAGAAAGTATTATCACATAAAGCGAAGCAATTTAAACAACTTACATTGAAAGAAATGTTTAATAAAGTAAGTAAATAAATATTAAGCTTTTTTTTTTTTTTTTTTTTTTTTTTTTTTTTTTTTTTTTGTAAATTTTGATATCCATTAGATCATAATTGTTTTTTATTTCATAAATTATGGTATCATATTTTTAATTTTATAATTTCTGCATGCCATCTTACCAGATTTAAACTGATGATCTATAATCCGGAATCGCCGAAGTCCCGATGAGTCCAGATTAACAAGTTTTGACTATTCTTATTATTTAGTTTCAAAATGTATGTTTCATTTTTATAAATTAATATCAATTAAAATATGGTACATACAATCCATCTACTGTAACAAAAAGGGAACATCTCTTCTCTACATATAATAAAACAAAAGAGTCTGTCTCTGTGTGTGTGTCTTTCATTCGCGCTGCGCATAAGGTAATAGACACACGGCTACAAAATTTGGTACATAGATGCATCTAGAGAAGAGCCGGTGCAACTCGAAGCGATATTTTCGAAATTCGAATTAGAATTTTTTAAATTTTATGTTTGGTGATGAAATCGCGTCATTTTGAGACATAATGGGCTATAGGAAAACGAGATTTTACTTTACACACTCCATTTTCACATTGTCATGAAACGTAGGCACTTAACTATTTTACGAACTTAAAATAAATTTTGTGTTTCAATAAATCGATTAAATATGAATTTATTTAACAAAGTGAGCTTAACACCTTTTCAACGGGATTTTTTCTAAAAAAGTTTATTTTTAAAAATGTACAGTTTATTTTTCGTTGATTTTTGGACACGTTAAACTTTTATTCTTGCGACTGCTTTTACAGAAAGAATTTTGGAAAAATGATAATATTTTGTATTTTTAAAAAATTTTTTAAATGAAGCTTCCGATTACACTTCGCACATCCCACATCTTTAAAAATGTGATTTTGGCAACAATTTCCTTTCTTATTGTTGTTGATAGATTTTTGATGAAATCGCATCGTTTTGAATAGTTTCATTCTTTTAGAAATATGGGTTTGGTGACAATTTTTCATCATATTTCTTATATCACTGTTTTTAAGAAATTGGCATTATTGAGTTTCTTTCATGTTCTGTTTGTAAGATATTGAAAAGTTTTGCATGATTTTTTTCCTTCAATGCTAAGTAGGTTAATTTTTTTATGAGGATAATTAATATTTGTATTAAGGGATATTGCTTATTTCATTGTAATTTTTTTATACGTAATAACTTTTTTTATGAAGTTGTTCTGCAGAGTAAAATTCTACGCAGTTTTTAAATTTAATGTTTGGTGTTCCCTTCAGCCATTTTTTTGATACATTTAAAAGCCAGACGAAGGCTGGCAGCGAAGCTGCTAGTTATACAATAATATTGTTGTTCAAAATAAGTGAGGGTGTTAGCATTGTAAAGATATGTACTAATGATATAACTATTATTATGTATATGTACTAATGAAATAACCATTATTTTTGAATTATTTAATTTTATTATATTCTTAGAGATAAAATTTCAATTGCTTTTATCTTCTTCAGCTTCTTATTTGTAAATGGGTATCTTGTTAAATTAAAAAAAAAAAAATCTATTAAAGTTACCTATTAAAGACTATTATCACAAAGTACATATCTTTACCATGCTAACTTATTTTGAACAATAATATGATTGTATAAGTTCTCTTTTTGTTACAGTAGATGGATTGTACAGCCTGAGTAAAAACTTTAAGGCCAGTAAAAATTTTTGAGAAAATGTAAAATGAAATAATAGGGATTCAAATTATATTAATTTTTAAAGTTCATTGATAAGAAATAAATGCTATAAACATAATTTGTAAATACATAATTATGAGAAACATGTGGTTATTTACAAAGTTAGTATTTCTGCCTGAGTAAAAACTTTAAGGCCACCAGTCAATTTTTAAAAATAAATATAATAAATCGTGTAATTACCATTGCAACTACTAGCTTGTGACATCGCTGCAATTTTCATATTTATCATACGTTTCTTTGAAGTATTGGTGATCTTTGTGAAGATGGCGAAGGATAAGAAGTGATTGTGAAAGAGGAGACATCGAAGCTTTGTCTTCAACAGGAATGAGTAGTCGTGCTATTGCGATAAAGATAGGAAGATCAAAGACTGAAGTCAACAATTTCTTTTAATAAAAGTTTCCTTCATTTTTAGTATTTCTTTTTAATATTCCTTATGTCTTGCTGGAGAAAATTGGAAATATCAGCAAGACAATGCATTGATCCATTTGAGTAACAGCACAAAAAATTGGTTCCAAGTCAACAATGTTGAAACTGTGAAATGGCCATCTAGATCACCTGACCTCAACTCAATCTAGAACCTTTGGGGTGACTTAGCAAGAAGAGTTTATGCAAATGGGAGACATTTTACATCAACAACAGAGCTGAAATCTACTATCGAAGATGAATGGTATAAAACCGACCCCACCCTTTGTCAAAAACTCGTTTCATCCATGAAAACAAGAATATTTGAAGTAATTCGAAGGAATGGGGGGGGGGGGGGGGGGGGGGGGGGGGGGGGGTGGGGGGGGGGGGGGGGGGCTCCACAACCTTCTAAGAATTTGTAATTTTTTTTCTTATATGTTATTGTCTATGTTGGCCTTAAAGTTTTTACTCAAGCTCAAATATTCATCTGTGTGTTCTGTAATATTTTCTAATAATAAAATATTTGCAAATTAATTTTTCTACTTTTTTTACTATTATTTAAACTCAGTAATTATCAATGAAATAGTATTTTAATTCCTCAGTTTAAATGTTTCCATTTTCTCAAAAATTTTTACTGGCCTTAAAGTTTTTACTCAGGCTTTATGTACCATATTTTATATGAAAAATTATGCACTTTGATTCTTGAAATTAATTTCTTGGAAAAGTAGACAAAAAATTGCTTGGGGGATCTTTGTAAGCATGAGAGTGACAACGATATTGAAAAATATCTGCTGAAAGAAAAATTTATCTAATCAATTTTCCTTTCTCTTATTCTCTTTTGGCAAGAACAAAGTTTGTAATATAAATTGCATCAAACTGTGTGTTAATTCGTTGTTCATGCTACTGCTAAGACTTCTTATAAATAAATACAAATGCTAATGATGTATCCAAATTTGATTAATATTTTTTTAAAGGAAGAAGAAATTAATTAGCAGTAATGCCTCTAGAATTTTTTCATGCAGCATTCATACATAGGTACTGTGTTCATACAATAGATACTTTTTAAATGAGAATATATTTGCAATTGACCTTAAAAATGTGCAACAATTAGGGGCATT